GGGGAGAGAGAGAGAGAGAGAGAGAGAGAGAGAGAGAGAGAGAGAGAGAGAGAGAGAGAGAGAGGCCTGAGGCAAGGGCTCCAAGGCCCACGGATCCTCTGTTGCAAAACCAGGTACCGCCCAGTATATGTGCGACTGAAACGTTACGGACCGGTATTTCTGCACAGATACACCTCAAAAGAGGCTGGGCTGCTCGCGAAGGTGTCTGTTTAGAGTTGCTATGATACCACTGATACGTTGGGCTGCTCGCAAAGGTGTTTGTTTAGAGTTGCTATGATACCACTGATACGTTTGGAAACGGGTATTTCTGCAATTTTCCCAATACAACGTGTAGTTTGCTGGTGCGTTCTATATCCGAGTACAATCATCGATGTGCTTTCGAGTTCTCGAATACAACGCACATGTGTTATGTTCGGGGGAAGAAAGGTAGCTACTTGTGCCCGTTTGCGACTACGACCGTTCGCGCACCCAGCGAGTAGCTACCTGTGCCCGTTTTGTGACTGTGGGCCTCGCTCCCCTACACAACACTACATGTATACCGTGCTCATCATCGTGTACAGAGATTCAAAATCTTGGATTCCTCCGGATGCACCTGGTCCCCGGCGGAGTGCAAATGCATGTAGAGAATGTTGACTAGCGGTAGTGGAGCGAGGCCATGTGTACAGTGTGTAGGGACAGGCTCGGACAGCAAGTCGCTATTCTGTAGGAGCAGACGGGCAGCGGTGTAAGGGCGCAGGCAACGAGAAACGCCACGGCTATTCGGCGGTCACCGAAACGCCACAGTTAGGGCCTCGTTGAGTCGTTGCACTACTCGCCATCCGCCAGCATCTTGATTGCATGTCTGTCCAGATGCACTTGAATTCTTGGCCGATGGCGAGTAGTGCAAGTAGGGCATTATTCGGCGGTCACAAATATGCCGGCTAATATGTCGTTAGGGTCATTATAAGTAGAGATTGTGCGTAAACGAACACATTGTAAGACGGCGACGGGCGTCTCTGAGGTGGCAGGTTTACGGGACTATTGTAGGGAAACTCGGGGTGCGGTGACTTCGCTCGTCTCACCGTTCATTCATTGATCTTGACGATCACTTTTTCTGGGAAGCTTCTTTGTTCTAGAACCTCATTCATCGATCTCGACAATCTGTTTGGAAGCTTATACAACCTTGGCGACCACGCTTCTCGGAAGCAAGCTTCTTCTTTCTAGAAGACAACTCGTTGATTTTGACGACCTTTTTGGAAGCTTCTAGCCTTGAAATTGCCGAGGAGAGAGGGTGGCTATGGCGGGATCTTCAATTCGCCAGCTCTTCGTGTCGGTGCGAGACGGAGCAAGAAGACAGCGATCTGTATCTGTCGTCTGGGTTAAGATGGCTTCGATACGCAGTGTAGGGTCTGTTGCTCATCGCCAGCTCGAACAGCTTTCGTCGATCAGGACCTTTGTGTGGGAACCTTCTCGTGATAGCGCGAGCCGCAGGTTGAGTCCAGTGGCAGCAGCTGCGACTGGCGGCTTGATCGGGAGCGGGATTAGACACACGGTGCTGCCGGTCAATTTGACCAGTTCATACTCTCAAATCAAGAACATCGGCAGTGACTGTGGATGGACTGCGATTTCTCCGCTTGTTGCAAGGCCAGGAGGGCAGTCTGCGAGCGTGGTGGCATGGCGGGGGTTTGCTACGGATCAGAAGGGGGGAGATAAAGAGGTAAGGGCTCTGTGGTTGGTTTTCATTGAACAAATTGTTGATGCGAAACGTCTGAATATCTCTTCCGCGCGCGCGTGCGTGTGTGTGTGTGTGTGTGTGTGTGTGTGTGTGTGTGTGTGTGTGTGTGTGTGTGTGTGTGTGTGTGGACTATCCATGAGCCATGCTAAATCTTCCTTTTTTGTCAGCTTGTGAAAAGAAAGCGTTCGCTTAAGACCTACAAGTTGCTTTCGAAGCGAATTTGTCCTCCCGGTGTGTGTGCGTGTGAGCGCGCGTGTGAATGACGCCAAGTTGTTTTTCCCCTGTGTCTCATCTCGAGGAGGGGAATAGATACCTGAATTGTTGGCACAGGGTCTATTTTTAGAGGCACTTCTTCACGTCACTTCGTATTGGATCGTTTCCGGGAGGGGGATAGAAGTCTGGACTGCTTGTACAAGGGCTGTTGGTAGAGGTATTTCCTCATCATATATTATATTGTTTTTATGTATTGTTAAATTTTTATCGTGTTTGTTTGCGCCTCGTAATGTCGGAGTGATTCCGAATCATCTCATTTTTCTATAAATGAGAGTTGACGACTTTTTGTCGTTGACCTACAGGTCTCGGAAGAAGAGTGTGCGAGTTATCAGGGAACATGCACGCTTTCCAGGCTTGCCACTGCGAGTTCTTGGTCCGAACGTGGCCGTGAAGTGGGTCTGATGCATTGCCGGTAGATGGAATGTATATGCCAGTGGGTCTGATGCATTGCTGGTAGATGGAATGTATGTCTTACGACCACGGGCTTAGTTCGGTATATATCCTGGAAAACGCCGTTGCGAGTAACCGCTTATGTGTTTATGGACAACATCTAGAGATCTTTTGTTTTGTTTTTCTTGGTTCTTTTTCTCCTCAAAGAGGCACGCAACAACACGGAGACGTATATGTCTGGCTGGTTCTTTGTCGTCTGCTGGTGGCTGCTCGGCTCGGGGGTTCCGCTGTGGCGGCTGTGCCTCACCATGTCTACATTGAACTACATTTCGCCCTTGAAAAATCCAGCGCCGGTCTTGTTTTCGTTTTATGTATTTATTAATTGATTTCAACCTTCTCTCCATTTCCGGCTGTCCGGCTGTCATCCTTGCGCAGGCGCAGGGGCCATGCTAATCTTCTTTTGTCTTTCCAATCTAACGGATGTCCCGACGGACAGTCTGTGTCTTTTGTTTAAGTAGTCGAGGCGTCTATACCGAATTTTGGTAAGCGGACGGCTACCGAATAAATTTTTCTAGCGGATTAATTTTTGGTTAGTTATGAAATCTGAGGCTCTGAGCCCAAAGGGATGTGATCTGTTCAGTGCTCACCAACAGTTATATATATGCGCCATTCAGCATCGTATGCCGGCTTGGGCATGAAAAAATTGATGGCCTCCGCAAACGCCACTCTCATGTATTAACTCGTGGTTCCGAGAACGTGTATTTTTCTATAGCCAGTGCGCTGTACTGAATTTCGGTAATCGGACGGATACTGTGTTTTTTTTTTTTTTTTTTTTTTTGGTAGCGGATTAATTTTCGGTTACGTAGGCATGGAATCTGAGCCCAAAGGTATTCGAACAATGTAATCACTCGTTCAGTGTTCACCAACAGTTATATGTATATGCGCCATTCGGCCTCAATGGGCCGGCTTGGGCATGGAATCAATCGCCTCCGCGTACCACTCTCATGTGGTAACTCGTGGTTTCGGGAACCAGTGTGCGTGGAGTGTGGAGGCTTTCTTGTCTGGTAGTGAAGGTATGTCGGGGGGAGTGCAGGCAGCTCAGCTTAGTCTTGTTGAACAACTATGTCCCAATCAGTTTTGGGAACCTGTATTAATTTCCATAACCATGGTTTAGGAAACGTGTATTGATTTCCATAACCATGGCTTCGGGAACGTGTAAACGTGTATTAATTTCCATAACCAGCCTGTCATGTCCATTGCAACGGTTTCGGGAACGTGTAAACGTGTATTGGTTTCCATAACCGTGGTTTCGGGAACGCGTATTAATTTCCATATTGACCAGTGTGCGTGGCACTGCATGCAGTGTGAACTCTGTGGAGGCTTGTTTGTCAGCACTGCACGTATGGAGTGCTTAAAATTGCTGAGCAATGGGCAGTGGGCACAGCCAGTTGTGAGGCTTGTCAATCAGAAGGAAGCACGGTTTGTGGCTTGCTACAGTCAAAAGGGCGGTCGCCGGAAGTGAATAGTGAGAGTGAGAGAGGATGTTTAGTGGAGTTGGCGCAGATCTGGTGAGGGAAGGGGACCATGCCCCTCCAAAAACCCATTACACGTCTCCCAAAATAAATCAGTACATATGGCGTAAGACGATTTCACGGATCGAGGTCGGAATGGGATCGGGTGTTTTCACGTCCTACAATAGTACCCGGATACTCGGAATTGTGCTTCGCGCCTTTGGACTAGTCTGATACTGGAAATCGACTTTCTACCCAGGCTTTGACAGGGGTTGTTGCCGTTGATCAGGAGTCGGGTCAATCTGATTCACTGTTAATTGTGTCCCGCTTCCGGGAAGTCTGGCGCCTAACGACGCGATCACCAGAAAACCATTGGCACAATTCGCAATGGGGTTTTTATTTTTGTTTTTGGTCTTGGTCCTTCCCAATGGACCACGAGTCCGATACTAAAAGTGATGATCAGAGATTCAGAACCGATACCACCGCACTTGATCTTTCTCAGCCAAAAGGCCGCGAAAGCTATGGTATTGTTGTTGTGGACAACCAGCGTCGGTCCAGTTAAGCCTTTTTATATGAGTAGCGACACCTATTTGATTGTACCGAATCATATCTGACCATCGGAAAATCCATATGCCAGCCTTTTAAATTTTCAAATCCTATTGCGGTTGGCACGAGCGTCACGTGCCGGTTATATGATACCAGCCACTGGTTTAGCGTCGTCAGCGTCACGTGCCCAGGTTATATGATACCAGCCACTGGTTTAGCAGGGTGACCGTCTAGCAGGGTCATACCTTAAGTAATTTGACCTTCTGCACGGGCCATAAACGGTCCGCCGATCCGGAGTAGTGTTGACTTCACTGTCCATGGATTTGTTCTAGTGTTGGGAGGGAAACCGCAACGAAGTTGACTAAGCGAGCGCTGAAACGTCGAAGTAGCTCGAGGAAAACAGAATATCTGATGTGTACTATGTACCGAGAACTTCGAGAAGTCGAAGTAGTTCAAGGAAAACAGATGTGTATGCATCGAGCACCGGGTCGTGTCAGTATGTACGTCGTACGAGCCGGCTATATGCCATATGGTCTGCCAGACTGCAGGGTCGTGACTTTGACTTTCTACTTGGGCTATTAACGGGCTCCAGGGTCGTATACCGTTGTTCCGCTCGCTCTTGTAAACTGAGGCTATTAACGGGCTCCAGGGTCGTATACCGTTGTTCGGCTCGCCCTTGTAAACTGACTCCAGGGTCGTATACCGTTGTTCGGCTCGCCCTTGTAAACTGACAAGGATGTTGATCCGGAGTCGTGGTTTAGTGTGTACTCAGTAACTTGTCATGATATCACGAAGACTGCCCATTATTATCCCCGTAACACGACGGTGGGGTTGGCGATTATTATGCCGTATTACGAGGGCTGCCAATCCCGAGGCTTCGTGTAGGGTGCGTACACAGTCGAGTGTGTATTTTGCAACTTGGCAGGATAGCACGAAGGCCGCCCATTGCAAGGGCTCCCGTCTTCACCCGAATACAGCGTACGCTCATCATTACAGCTGTGTTTGGGGGTATTTTTTCAGTCTAAATACAGCAATCATGATTCATGAACGTACTTCGTATTAGGGTGAAGACGGTAGTGTACGCTGTGTATGTAGCACCATTGAACGAGGGCCATTAGTATATGATTTGCTTGTTTTTCTTATTAGATAAGATAACCTCTGATCCGACAACACAGCAACAAGTACTAACATTGTAACAGCAGTAACAACACACTGCTATGGTGGTGTTCTTTTTTCGTCTCTCTTTTTCTCTTTTCTTCCTTCCTGTCGTGGAGAGTTTTTGCTGCTATATATTTTAACCAGGACGTGGGACGGATCTGCTAACGTCTTGTCGACGTTGTCGTTACAGCTGTTTCCACCCCGCTGCCATTTCTGTGCCCGACTCTTGAGTGTTTTAGCCCGTAGGACCTAGTTGTGTATTGCATGTCGTTTGAAAGCAGTCGTTATCCTCCCGTTTGCCAGTAAATAGAACAGGTTAGCCTCCCGTTTGCCAGTAAATAAAACAGCAGGGTGGTATCATCTGGGCTCAGGAGCTATGACATCATATGGAAGGGGTTGTGGTGTTTGAAGTTCTATTATACTTCAGATAACTGAGATAAGAACTAAGAGGAATCGGCATCATTTGGGCTCGGTAGCCTGCTGTTTGACTGCGTTCAGTTTGAACTGGTCGGGTATGCGGAGTGACGGAGTTCTTGGGTGTGTCCGAATGCGGGATGTGGATACTTGTACTTGGCTCCGTCATTTCTTTGACCAGTGCTCGATTGTGTGGAGTTCGTACTTCGCTCATTGCGTGGTGGTGGAGTATCTTATGTGAATCCTTTCATTCATCTTCCTCGGTGGTTGACTCCTCGATTTGGAAGCTGTGGTGTACTAAGTATGTTGTGGTGTAACTTTTAAGAGCTGCGTCGATAGTCGTACTCCTACGATTCTACCATCCGTGGGCCGTGGGGCTAAGTAGAACGAACGGTGATCATAATCGGTAGAAGGCGCCCACGCCAAAACCTTTTCGGTTTTGGCCGCCAAAGTTTAGCCGTTTGGTACTACCGGCCCAATAACTTGCATGAGGGGTACTACAGGCCCACGCGTAGCTCCAAGGGCCCTACCTTATCATGAATCTGGCGCATAACAGCGTCAGATTCATTGTGATGTAAAAGAGGCCGGGGGTGATAACGCTGAAGTATCGAATGAGGCCCACGTACGCGATTTTGAAAAAGAACGGTTCTACCGGTTCATGAATCTGGCGCAGAAACAGCGCCAAATTCTTGACCCGGTAAAAACAGACCTAGGGAGATGTGGCCACCGCGCGAAGGCGCCTTTCACCTAGGGGAACGTTGTTTGGGCCGGTACTACCAAACGGCCCAACTTTGGGTGGCAAAAACCGAAAAGGTTTTGGCGTGGGCTCTTTCTACCAATTATCCCGTGATGATCGCTGTATCTAGATTCTATCTAGACTAGAAATTGCTCCAAAACCAGCAGGAACGGCCGACGTGTGCTCTATTCGACTGAATGCTAGTGCACCGCATATCGTTCAGTCGAACGGAATGTGTGCCTTCCCTCCTGTGCGGAGTGTCGACTTGTGTGGTCGACGACATCGGCGAAATCGAGGAAATCGGCGACGTCGGTGAGAGTGATTTTTTGAGATCGATGAAATTCGCGAAATCGACGAAATCAGGGTACCTAGAGATTCAGAGACGTCCCTTTGCGGGAATGTCGCTGGAGCCGGTTACTCCTGGTTTGCGGGGTTTACTGCATTCAGTGTATTTCTCCTCCCGACTCCCCGCTTCGCGTTCCTGGTAAATCTCAGCATAACCTGAGTCGGGAACTGCGGAGTTTGTCTGAGAGTGCGTTGTCTGAGAGTGCGTGTGCTATGGAGCGCGTTGGGCGCGCAGGCTACTGTGGGATGGCTGACTGGCGCGGCATGGTCATTTCTTTGCTCGGGCATGCGTTCGTGATTCAATTTGTTGGTTGATAATCCGTTGATACCAGTTGATAGACTATCAAATATAATAATCGCAACGAATCCGTATGGAATTGCGTCTGACGTGATATTTGTTTGTTTGCTGATTCGTGATGCTCATCTACTGATTATGTGGTGTGCTGAATCTGCTGATTTACGAATTATGCATGTGGTATTTGGTGTTATTGTCGTGGATTAAGGGGAAGGGCAGAGAGCCGGCACCGGAGATGGGCTCCGCGAAGGACGCGGAGGACAGAGGAGAGGTTGAGGAGGCGGGGTACGGGAGGGCAAGAGAGAATGGGGAGAAGTTGCATGACGCATCGGGTGCCAGGGAGAAGACGAGGGCAGCCGTGGATCTTGCAAAGGATGTAGCGAAGGGAATAAAGGAGGCGGCGGTAAGAGTTGTGGATGTGGCGACGGAGACGGTGGGCAGGGCGGAAGAGACTGCAGCCGGCGTTATCCGAGGTTCGGGATCCAAGGAACATGGGACTGGTGGGACTGGTGATAAGGGTGACACTCGTGATGGGCGGCCTACGGAGCAACGACAGGGTCGAGGTGCACATGACACTGACGGTGACAACCAAACGTCGGAAACGGAAGGCTCTGGGGAGGAGAAGATCGAGGTCAAGTGCATCCCCGAAGACGAATCAGGGGTCCATGTTGTTCATGATGCCCCTGGTTCACAGAGGATCCCAATGGGAGTCGATAGTCGAGAAGACCCCGAGCAGGGGGTTCCGGGCTCGAAACCCACTCCAACCGTTGGAGCAGATTCCGAGTCTACGAGCACGGGACGGCGCTAATGCTTCTGGGCCTTCTGGCTAATTACCAGCGCCGAGGGGGAGATCCCGGGTTCGAAACCCACATCTACCGTTGGAGATCCTGGGTTCGAAATCCACAGATTCCACACCAATCGGTGCTGGAGATCGCGAGTCTACGAGCGCGGCGGGATGGCGCTGACGCTTCTGGGTAACAGGGAAATATCGGCAATACCACAGCGTGACAGCGACTGCGTTTTTCCGTACCGATCATCACACCACGGTTGTTGTCGAGCGTCGGGTATAATAGGGAAGGGATGTAGGGATTCGGGGCGCAGTTTGGTAATGGGTAGATGATCACATGACTGTACTCCATGGGTGTGGGAGAACACCTCGCATCTCATATCGCATGTTGAGCATCGCCGGGACGGACCTCGGTATCTCAATGATTGGGAGAACATCGTCCATCTCTCATATCGCTTGTTGAGCATCGCCGGGATGGACCTCGGGTGTATCTCAATGAGCTGTTTCGTTCCCTTTTTTTAACTTCTGTTTTTGGTCTTTTCTCTTCGATTTGGATTCCGTCATGTTGATGGCAACTGACTGTTGATCACGTACCTCTGGTGTATGTGAAATAGACAATCAATGATATTACTGCCAAAAAAATAGTTGGCATAAGTGCACAATGTCATGCAGTCACGACACTTTCTGTGACATGGACGTACGAGGCACAACAGGTGGTTTGTGAGGGTACGGTTATCGCCTAGAAAGCGTGTACACAGGCATTGACACTATGGAGGGCATAAACTTTGTAAGGCGTATGGGGACTTTCCTGGATGTATGTATCTGACCTACAGTTGCCGTCAAAATCATCAAATCCATATGCTAGAGTCGAACGATCTTAAGTTTGTCTGCCAGGTGGGCTGAGGTGGCAGGTTGAACCGGTGCATACTGAGAGCGATGGGAAGGCGTGCTGTTTGCGAGAATAGAGGAGGTAATGGACTGGAGTCCCCGGACCTCGTGGCGAGAACTACAGTGACAGCGGTATGCCAATTTACTTAGGAGAATGTGTGACACAGTGTCAATTTGTGTGTGTAGTCCTCAACGTAATACGGACAGGTGCGTCCAAAGGAGTTCGAGTAGCTAGGCCGTGTACAAGAGTAGCGGGGTTTGGAATATTGTTTGGCAAGTGTGTGTATTTGGCAAATTGGCAGGTGTGCATGCGAAGCATGCTTGTGTAGGATGCGGTTGTCGTCATGATAAGAGGAAACTTGAAAAGGATATGGTGTGGCAGGAGAACCGTGGTAAAACCACGTGAAGTGTGTGCATGCACGTGGTCTGCCTGTGCGTTCGTGCTTGTTCTAATGTTATAGTTAAGGGGAATTGACATGGGCCCATGGGGCTTGCTTAGTCTTGCTGCGATTTGAGACCCAACGACGTGGGTGAATATGGAGAAAAACCTACGTCCCGAAGGATCGTGGCAGGCACCCTGTGCACGCATGTGCTTTAGCGGTACGATGAAAGGAATTCATAGAACATGCCCCTAACTTCAGAAATGTTTGCCTGCCCTGATATCTCGTTGAGACTCGTTCTGAATCGTGTGAGGACTTTCCAATTCGTCTTCCGCCCCTGGTCAAAGGCACGTCGACTCGTTGTAGCCGTTTTTAGCGGAAATTGCGGACCGGATACAGCTGTGGTGGTGGTCGTTGCCTTCTGTGGGGGGGAGGGGTCTGTGTGTGTGTATGTCAACCAGTTTAGTGTTTGTTCAGTTCATCAAACGATAAGGATGGAGGCTGGAGGCAGTCCTTATCAAGTTATCCTATGTACAGGACAGTTATCCTCGTCTGTCTTATCCTTTTCTCATCATGTGTACCCCTACCACAGGTCCACAGGTGCAACTATGAGACTCTTGTTTATCCTATCTGATGCTTATACTCAGCGTACTGCTATTGTCATTTGTCCAATCCTATCCTACCACAGCTGCAACTATTAGACACTGGTTTGTCCCATCTAATGTGTATGCTGCTATTGTACATCTGCTGCTCTGCAATCTGTCTCCCCCCAACGCGATGGTATAATGCTAAGGTTCCAATGCGCGGTTGAGGTGCGGTGTTCACCTGGGACTGCGGCAGCCTGCTGCAGGCCTTCCTGGCTGACGTGTGATGTTCGCATGAAAGCCGGCCAGCTGGTTGTGTGCCACTGCTACAAGCTAATAAAAACGGGATAATAAAATAAAAATATAATTCCCCATGCAGATGTCCGTTGGGACCTGTGATGGTATGTCACTCAGGCAGCTCTCCGGAGCACTGGGAGCAGTGGTACACCTGAGAAGCCTGAGCAGGGAAACCGGGGAGCATTGAAGGCAATGCAGTCTAGTGAGCCTTGTGCGTATGTATCACCTGAAACTGGTCGTGGATGCATTCAGAATAGAAGATATATCAGGTAAAGGCGTAGTTAGTCTGAGCATGCCCAGAGATTTGTCACCATATCACATTTCATTTGCGACAGAGAGACGTGCTTGGCTCCATGCGCACAAGCAGCGAAGCTGGTGTATGTTTTGCTGCATAGAAGTTTAGAGGACAGACGGTGGACATAGTTTGGGAAGGACTGGACTCGCTGGATGCGGTTAAAGGGCTGATGAAAATCGGAGATGTAGAGCGTTTGGGGACATGACGACTTCTTTGGCATTCCCCTTTTTGCCAGCAAGGTTGGTGTTTTTGTGTGCTTCTTGCACTCGGATATTGAATGGAATGTGTCCTGTGACATCCCTGAGGGAATCCCGTGCTGCATGGCCCGCAAAGGGCCTGAAGTGCGAAAAAAAGATTGGGTGGCGGCCACTGGAGTGAGCCTCCAAGGGTGAGCACTGAGCAGGATCTTGATGTCCGTGGTTGATGAAATTGGCATGATTATGGTAAACCTCAATAAAGAGATGGGCTCAGGTGGCCTACGGAAAAAGAGACCTCGTGTGAATTTTCAAAAGGGCAAAAAAAACAAGCCCTGGGCCGGGTAGTAGGCCCTAGGTTGACGGGATTTGGATGTCATGATTGAACTGGCCGGCCCTGCCGCCCCAGCCCCCAGGTTATTTAGAATTGTTTTTACTCTGTTTATGTGGTTGCATCTGGATTCAAACTGAAGACTGTACTGTCACAGATCGTGCTTGTTGTTTTTTGTTTTTTTGATAATGGCGTCGGGCCCTCAGGCCGAGCTGTCAAATTCGTTTGGGAATGAATGGAAAAGGCTCGCTGTGTCTTGGCAATGTCTAGGCTGAGAAGCATTGAGGGAAAAAGTATGGGACCCAAGAGCTGTCTAGGCTGCGAAGCTTTGGGAAGTTTGGGAAAGTCCCTCACAGAAGTGCATGTATTATGGATTAGTTCGATGTCCTTGCGTGAACATGGAGTGTGTGGTGTTAGGTCAAGCCGCCGAATTCATTTTGGCTGCATGGCAGAAGGCTTGCTGTGTCTTGTCTAGGCTGTGTAACTTCGGGGAATTTGTTTTGGGCCTTTTGGCTGGACGGCAGAAGGCTTGCTGTGTGTTGTCTAGGCTAAGTAACTTGGGGGAATTCAGGGTGACGCCGTCGCGGCGGGCCCTGGCCTTGTATATCAGTCCAAGTCTCCATGACCCTTAAAGTTCAGCGAAGACTCGAATAGTTGTTGGGAAAAATCGTTAAGATTTCTGACATTGTGTTCTTGCTCCGATGCCTGGATTTCCCCCCTTTATTTCCTGAAGGAATGGTTGTTGATTCCCTCCCCCCCTTCCTTTCCCAAAGTTCCCCACCCTTCTTCCCGGTCCCCTCCCTGCCCCTTGCTCTGAGACTTCTCCTCTGGTCTTTTCTTGAGTTTTAGGTAGAACTTGAATCGGAAATGGCAGTGAAGTTGTGCAGGTCCGCTGCTCTGGTAATATGCTTCTCTTGGGCCTTGTTAGTGAAGGATGATTGCTCAATGCCGTGGGTAGAGCACTGGTTGGTTTTGTGGTAGTTGATTGACAGGTCAATGATTTGCAAACGATTTGTAATATGTGATTGTGTTCTACTTAGGGCTGATTCACTGATGAATCAGATGATGATTTGTCAATGATTGTGCGCGTGGTGTGTGGTGTCATCATCATGGTGAATGAAGGGGAGAGAGCCAGCGCCAGAGATGGGATCGGCAAAGGATGCGGAAGATAGAGAAAAGGATGAGGCTGCGGGGTATGAGAGGGCAAGAGAGACTGGGAAAGAGGTGCGCGAGGCTCCGGGTACCAAGGGGAAGACAAGGGCAGCCGTGGATCTTGCAAAGGATGTATCGAAGGGTTTGAAGGAGGCTACTGCGAAGGTGGTGGACGTGGCAATGGAGACAGCGGGCAGGGCACGGGAGACGGCAGCTGGCATCTTTGAAGGTGCGGGATCCAACAAGGAAGGTGGGACTGATGATAGTGGCAAGTCTTCTGAGTTTAGAGACCAACAGGGTCGAGGTGCACATGATAGCAAGACTGAAGGTGCTGGGGAGATGGTGGGGGAGAAGACTCAGAAAAGCAGCCATGAAGATGAACCCGGTGTCCATGGTGTTCAGGGTGTTCCTGGTACAAAGTCCATTCCAATGGGACCTGGTGGTCTGTCAGGTCCTGAGGATGCTGTTCCTGGTTCTGTGCAATCTACGCTGAGTAGAAGTTGATGCTCCCGCTGTGGAACACGGACATAAGTGCGACTACTTCTGCCAATTTTGTGGATCAGCCATTGCATGATGAGTTGGCAAACTTAGCATTGCGTGCAGGGGAATTGAGGAATTGGGCATGTAGTTGGGTTTTAATACGTCTTGGTAAACTGTAAACATATTATCATAACAGATTGTCACAGCCCATGGGTTAACAATTCAGTAATCATTCATATGACAACAAATTGTCACTGTTGCAGGTTTGCAGCCCATGGGCTTACACAACCTTCCAGGAGAACGATTGCATGGTTGACGATTTGGCAGTCATATCATGACAAATTGTCGATCTGTCAGAGTCCACACGCTTGGGAGAATCTTCGTATCATGTCACGTTCGTTGAGCATGTCTTGTTTGTTGAGCATCAGCTTGATGCACCACAGGCACAGGTGTCAGCTCACAATGGGTGCCAGTGAGCTGGTATCGAAGCCATCATGGTGGTAGAAATTGTTTGTTCCCTTCTGGGAAAATTTAGTAGTTGGTTGAGTTGACAGTGACTAGACTGTAGTAGCGAAGTCACAGTGACTAGACTGTAGTAGCGAAGTCACCTGTTGTGACATCGACTCACCTGTTGTGACATCGATCTAGCCTCCAGGCACAACAACCGGATTGGTAGCTTTGGACCTCGGTCGTTTTCACCTGGGAACTTGTGGGAAGTGCCACGAGGGCGTCTGCTGATCTTTAGGAGGAAGGGGGAATTTTGAGTTGTTGGAAAGGGAAAGGACGAAAAGACTTGTGAGACACTGACATTTTAAATTCTATCGTTTTAGAGAATTGTGGTGTCTTGGCGTTGAATATCCAATGGCTTGTCACATGGGAAGTTGAGTGGCGTCTCGCCGTCTCCTTGTCCGATACCGAAGGACTTGTCACATGGGAGGGTGTTTGGGCAAGTTTGAAGAATATACAGAGATTTGCATGGCTCCTGTGCAAGGACGGTAGATTTTAGTATGTAACCCTGCATTCATTGAACGGGGGCTCGGTTCAGAACTGAGCGCTTTGAATGTGCGGGTTTGCGGCGGGTAGAAATGCTGCGGGGGAAGGGAGGATGTGGGCGGTCAAGTGGGGGCACCCCCCTCATCCCTGTTTTTAAGGGGGGAGAGGGAAGAAAAGAGAATAACGGAAAAAGGAAGTTCCAGACCGTTTATGGGGTTAGATACACTCCAGTCCTAACACTCGAGAAATGTGAGTGCTTTAAGTGCGCTTCTCTCTCTCTCTCTCTCTCTCTCTCTCTCTCTCTCTCTCTCTCTCTCACACACACACACACACATGCACACAGACACACACGCATGCACAAAGACTGTTGGGGTTCAACCTCCTGATGAGTCGGTGAAAGTCCGTCGAAACAGTCTGGTACAGTCACGTTTTTCGAGTGTATAGTGAATATGACAACACACACAGTCACACACATTGTCACACAGTGTCACACACGCACATGCCACACACACAAAAAAGGTTAATTTGCAAATACACCCGTGAGTTGGGATATATGCCAAAATGCCCCTGAAAGATGTGGCTAGACACACACAGTCACACAGTGGCAATGCATATGCACAGTGTGCACGCACAAGAAAAAGGGATAATTTGCAAAATACCCCCATGTATGCCAAAATGCCCCTGAAAGATGTGGGTAGAGCGGAATGCCCTTTTGGGCCGAAATGTTTGTGTTGTGCCCCTGTCAAGCGGGTGTGCAACTTTTTAAGTGGATCTCCCCGTCTGGGCCTTGGCCTTTTGGAGCAGTAGGAAAGTTGGCAAGCACTGGGGCATTTTGAAAGTTGGATGGTACCAGGTAGGGGTATATTGCAAAGATGGGGCTCCAACTGACAGTTATTGATATCATGTGTGTCTGTGAAGTGTATGGGCGAAAGAACGAATGGATTCCATCGATCAAATGGATTTGATTGATTCGATAGATCGAATGGATTATCCATTAAATCCATATTGTGTGTGTGTGTGTGTGTGTGTGTGCGAGTTCATACATGCACACACCGTGACACACAGGTGTGTGCGCGTACACACGTGTGCACACACGCACTGCAGGGTTGGTGTGAGTAAAGTCGGCCACTTTTCTCAGGGTTATCACGAACTCTGGGTGTAGCGAGTCCTTGTCAGTCAAATGCGTCCTTGGCAGAATGTAGGGGTTCAACCTCCTGATAAGTCGGTGAAAGTCTGATGAAAGTCTGCCACAGTCCTGCTGTTTTTTTGTGTAGAGCGAATATGACAACACATACATATGTATTCATATTCATATGTGGAAGTGTGTTGCAGTGTGTTGCTTTGGTGGCAGACGGGTGTGTGGGCACTTGGAGCTGAACCACACCAATGTGGCCAAGCCAGACCAACCTTGCTTTTTCTATTATATGGCCTATCAAAACTTTTTCGTTATGGATGGCTTGTGGTGATTTGTGAAGGGTATGAGAGAGAATCTGGGGCCTTTTAAAACAACACACGTTCTGGTCTTGCTAGCTCTCTGTCTTGGCAGCATCTGATTTGAGCAGTTTGTGGTTGGATATTGTTGATTATACACTGCCTAATTCTTTGCCCTGCTTTAGAGCATGGGGCCTGGGCTGTTTGGATGTTTACGGGTGGCGCCGAGTTCTCTTTGGGGGGAATGTATGTTTTGTGGGCCGGCGTGGAAGGTTTTCCCAGTTTTTTCGGACCCTTAGCAGGGGGGGTTGGTGTGTGCTTGCTGGAGGACTATGAAACCGCTTGGGCGCCCGTGTGCGCGAGCGTGTGCTTAAAGAACCTCCTGCTGTGCCGCCCGTGAGCGTGAGCGCGCGCTTAAACCTACTGCTGTGCTCAAAAGCATTTTGAGGCGCATGCGCTCGTCAAAAAAAGTGTGAGTGAGCGCCATGGGGTTGCACGAAGGCAGGGGATGTTGTC